GAGGCATATACGATTTGCTTTTGTCATTCTCCTTTTTATTTTTTGATTTAAATGTGGACGGTGCTGGAGAGACACTACTGTGGATAGGGCGCTTGCCTTTTATCTGCCTGACCTGGGTTCTATCCCTGGTATCCCAGAGGGTCCCCTGGGCCCACCAGGAGTAATTCCTGAGTGCAGAGCCAGTGTGGGACAAAATTAAACAAAAAACAAACAAAATCGGGGGGAGTTTGGGCCGCACCAGCACTGCTCGGCTTATTCCTGGCTCTGTGTTCAGGGTCACTCTTGGCAGAGCTCATGGTCCATGTATATTGTGTCAGGGATCGAACCCTGGTCAGCTGTGTGCAAGGCAAGCGCTTGACCCACTGTCCAATCTCTCTGGTCCCTAGTCATTGCTTACTTTATGCTTTATTTATAGGATTAAAAGCATTAAAGCTTAAGGAAGCATATCAGAGCATTGTGTGCAATTTGTGTCTGTCTCTGTGTGTCTTTCTGTGTGCGTTGACTTAGTAATGTGTTCAGGACATTTAATATGCAACATTAGTGAAGTTGCACAGGAATTTGATCCCATTTTTTTTTAAATAAGGAAGTTCCACATTCTGTATGTGCATATTTAGTTCGAACAGACAGAGTTACGTAGAAGGGGTTCTAGTGGGAAGCGGTTGGAGCAAGGAAGGGGAGAAACTGAAAAACAGGCAATGCTTTGTCCTTTCTCCTTGCCGCAGGGAGCTTCGGTTTATTTGGTCCTCCCCGTCACAGTGCTCCAGAAGCACTCCCGTTTCCTCGTATTCTTCTTTAACTTCTTTGTGCTCTGTTTTCTCTGTTAATCACTCACTTCCCCTCACCAGGACTTGTAACTTGTAAGGTCATGTTTGTAAGTGAAATGCCGTTTTTCTCTTTCCCTTATGTCCTTTGCATAGTTTACTTTAGAGCAATGTCCTTTTTGTATAGTTTATGCCGTGCTTTTTTAACTTGGGAGTTAATTGACTCTGAATAATATTTACTGCTGGGCATTTGCCTCAGTTCCTGGCACCCCAAAGCAGGGTCCCGACGAAGGGACTAGATGCATCCAGGGCAAGCTGTGAGCTACCCTGGCAGGACAAGGTCAAGCGCCATAATACTTAACTGTAAGTTAAGAGCACGGTGATAGGGCTGGAGTGAGAGTACAGCAGGTAGGGCGTTTGCCTGGCACGCAGCCAACCCTAGTTTGATCCCCAGAATGCCATATGGTCCCCCGAGCACGCCAGGAGTAATTCCTGAGTGCAGAGCCAGGAGTAACCCTTGTGCATCGCCGGGTATGACCCAGAAAGGAAAAAAAAAAAAAAGAAAGCATGGGCATGGACAGATTCTGTCATGGTCCAGAGAAACAACTGGACAAGGACCCTGCAAGTTAGGAAGGACTATCTGGCCTGAGCACTGTAGTCTGGGATCTACAGCGAGATGTTTCAAGGAGAGCCACCCTATAAGCTTAATGTATCTCTTACTGCGTTCATACAAAATGGCTAGAAAGATTATTAAGAAGTAAATCTAAGATGATTGTTTATGGACTGAGGAAAGGAGAAGTATGTTCTTGAGTGGATCTCCCAGCAGGAGGGGATCTCTGTCTTGGAAGAGCGTCCCGGAAAGAAGGGCTTTTCATATGTTGCTTGTGCTGTCTGACCTCGGTGTAGTTGCTACCCCAACGCTTGGAGGTTGGGCTTTAGTGTTTTTTTGGTTTTTTTTTTTTGTTAGTGAATCACCATGAGGTACAGTTTCATACTTACAAACTTCTGTGCTTGCATTTCAGTCATACAATGATCGAGTGCCCATCCCTCCACCAGTGCCCGTTCTATTGGGCTCTAGATTAAGGCTGCGAGAGGAGAGGAGGAATACAGGAGGAATGCGGGTGAGGCGGGTTGGAGCGACAGCACAGCGGGTAGGGCATTTGCCTTGCATGCAACTGGCCCAGCCGAGCCGGGTTCGATTCCTCCGCCCCTCTCAGAGAGCCCAGCAAGCTACCGAGAGGATCTCGCCCGCACAGCAGAGCCTGGCAAGCTCCCCGTGACGTATTCGATATGCCAAACACAGTAACAACAAAGTCTCCAATGGAGACGTTACTGGGCCCGCTCGAGCAAATCGATGAACAATGGGAGGACAGTGACAGTGATGGGTGAGGCTATAAGGCGGCAGGGAGATGAGATTGGAATCAACTGCAGCTGATCACCACCTGGCCTGGCGCCCTCTTCCCTCTTTTGTGCGTCTGTTGGCGGCAGCTGCAGACCCGGCTGGGGAAGCGGCTTGGGGCCACTGAACGCAGGTGGCACGAAAGAGCCCATGCGCCGTTTATTTATTGAATACACAAAACCAGCTTCCACCACAACCGCAATTGCGAAGTTCCAATTCTTCTGAAGCAGTCCCAGTGAAATGTATATTCAATCTGTTGTTTCAGTCACCGCTGACTTTCGAAGACGTCGCCATCTATTTCTCGGAGCAAGAATGGCAGTGCCTGCATGCGTGGCAGAAGGAGCTTTACAAGCATGTGATGAGGACCAATTACGAGACCCTCCTTTCTCTCGGTAAGGAGAGTTCTGCCTGGCAGTGAGCTGTGGACTGGCCTACGTGTTTGTCAACCACATTTTTTGTTTTATTTATTTTTTGCTTTTTGGGTCACACCCAGCGATGCTCAGGGGTTACTCCTAGCTCTGCACTCAGGAATTACTCCTGGCGGTGCCAGAGGACCGTGTGAGATGGTGGGAATTGAACCCACGTCGGCCGCGTGCAAGGCAAACGCCCTACCCGCTGTGCTATCGCTCCAGCCTCAGGCGGCCACATTTCTCAGACATGTTTGACCCCAAGTCTTTTTGTTACGCTTCAGTAAGTGTCGCTGATACATGTTGTGTTTGTGTGTTTGTTTGGGAGCTATACCCAGCATTGCTCAGCGATTACTCCTAGTTCAGCACTCAGGAATTACCCCTGAGGTGCTCTGGGACACACAGCAGCGCGTTGTTCATCACAGCCCCTAAGAGGAGTAGAGATGTGGCATCTGCCCAGGTGGGTGGATTCTTGGGGGTCTGGTCCATGAACACAGGGAACCCTGTGCCAGGAACAGTGGAATCATGCGATTCGTGCATCTTGGCGGTAACTCGGGGATGTCCTACTAAGTGAAGTGAGAGTCAGAAGGAAAAGAACACACACACTTGTGGGATTTACAATGGCTCCATGAGGAATTCCTGCTGCTGCCCTGCTTGTTACACAGGAACCAGGACACAATTAAACAGGAGTGGGGCCTGAGTGATATAATACACAGGGAAGGTATTTGCCTCAACCAGGGTTTGATCCTCAGCATCCCACAGTCCCCCCCCCCCCCCCCCCCCCCCCCCCCCCCCGCCCAGCACTGCCAGGAGAGATTCCTGAGTGCAGAGCCAGGAGTCACTCCTGGGCATCAACGGGTGTGGTACAAAAAACAAAACACAATTAAACGGAAGCTCTGCCCTGGGCTGTGGGCGGTTTTGCTTCTTCTGTGTAAATTTAGCATCTGTTGTTTGGCACTTCTTCCTGGACGGTGCCTGGAGTACAGCAGAGAAATGTGAAAGTGTGTGCGTTAGGTGCGGTCCCCAAGAAACCCAGAGCAGCCCGTCTGCCCTCTCTGCAGGTGGCGGCCTGCCCACGCCGGAGCTGATCCTGTGCCTGGAGCAGGGCAGAGCGTTTCAGGGGCGCCGAGGGCAGTCTCCGAGACCAGGACGCACAGCGGGGTGTGCTGCTGATGTGCCCTTGGATCCAGTCCATGGGGGTCCGCTGTTTCAGGGTAAGTACTATAAAGAGTTGCTGGCCCTGGCCGTAAGGTGTGACTCAGGTTTCTTAGACCCAGTTCCCTGGTCCTGTCTGTCTGTTCTCGAGGAAGGCAGGAAGGCGCAGTGGTTAGGAGTGTGGGTTCCAGTGCTCAAGGCAGGACCCTGTCTTTTTGCTTTGTTTGGGGGCCACACCCATCGGTGCTGGGGGGTTACTGCTCAGAAAGTGGGGGCCTTGCGGCTGGCGCATTAGTAGCGGGGAGGGCACTTGCCTTGCCAGTTTAATACCACGTATGGTCCCTGAGCCCACCAGGAGTGACCTCTGGGCCCAGGGGTGCTGGGGATCACCCCCATGTGGACCGCATGCAGGGCAGGCACCTTACCCCCATCCTGTCGCTCTGGCCCCTGAGTGCCCCTTTCAACCCTTTCATTCTTCCGAGAACCTGTAGAAAACGTTGCCGAGGCTGGGAAGGAGGGAGGGAGGGAGGGACAGTGCCCAGGCCTGGCGCCTGTCGGGCGCAGAGTGGGGGATGGTCCTGATGGCCCCGAGTCTGGGCAGAGAGCGGCCCCGTGTGGAGGTGCCCGTACGCCCCTGCTAACAGAGAAAAGGAACTTGAGGGGAAGCGAGCGTGTGCGACAGAGACTGCGGCGTGGCCAGGTGGCGTTTGAACGCGCCGGGACAGGAACCGGAATCCGCTGCCCCATGGTCCAGGCCCATCCCTGGGGGCCGGAGCCTTGCTGGGACAGGACTGACAGGATCTTGTTTCTGTTCCAGGGAGCCCGCACGCCGCAAGCTGCGGGGACACCCCACCGCCCGTGCCGGAAGAGCCCCCAGGGAGCCAATGGGCCTCCGAGTCCCGCTCAGAAGGGGACGAGGCCTCCTTCCCAGCCGACCGCCTCCTCCCGGGCCCGCAGAGCTGTGACACTCGGACCCCGCCGCCGCCGCAGCCGGCCCCCGGGCTCAGGGCCTTCACCCCCATAGAGAGACCGCCCAGCCTCCAGGAAGCCCCGTGCTGGGAGGGCGCCCGGCGCGCAGGCGGGGGACCCAACCGCCCCCTGGGAAACCAGAGACGCCTGGGCAAAGCGGCCGACGCCCCGGGGCCCCCCGCCAGCGGCTGCCCGCGGGAACAGGGCTCCGTGCAGTGTCCCGCGTGCGGCCGGGCTGCGCTCCCGGGGTCGGGGGGGCGGCGGCGCCCGTCGGGACCCGCGGGGAGGAGCCGCTGGCAGTGTCCGGCGTGCAAGACGTGCTTCCTCGGCCGGCGCCTCCGGGGGGCCGGGGGGCTGCGCCCCAGGAGCGGCGGGGCCAGCGCGGAGAGGCCGGGCCCCGGGGCCGAGCGGGCCGGGAGCCCCGGCGGCGGCGGCGGCGCGCCCACCGTGCGGGAGCCGGCGCGCCTCCCGCGGGGCCCCGCGGCGGCCGAGAAGCGCTTCGCGTGCGGCGAGTGCGGCCGCGGCTTCCGGCGCCGGTGCCAGCTGCGGGAGCACCTGCGCGTGCACAGCGGCGAGCGGCCGTTCCGCTGCGCGCAGTGCGCCAAGAGCTTCCACCTGAAGGGCGTCCTGGCCGAGCACGCGCGCACGCACGGCCCGCGGCCCTTCCCCTGCGCGCAGTGCGGCCGCGCCTTCACGCGCCGCTCCAAGCTGGCCGAGCACCTGCGCGTGCACAGCGGCGAGCGGCCCTTCGCCTGCCCCGACTGCGAGCGCCGCTTCCGCCTCCCGGCGCAGCTGCGCAGCCACCGGCGCCTGCACACGGGCGAGCGGCCCTTCCCGTGCCCCGACTGCGGCCGCCGCTACCGCGCCCGCGCCACGCTGCGCGCGCACCAGCGCCTGCACCTGGGCCCGCCGCCCTTCGCGTGCGCGTGCGGCAAGGCGTTCGCCAAGCGCTCCCGGCTGGCCGAGCACCAGCGCACGCACACGGGCGAGAAGCCCTTCGCCTGCCCCGACTGCGACCGGCGCTTCCGCCTCAACGCGCAGCTGCGCAGCCACCAGCGGCTGCACGCGGGCGCGCCGCCCCACCGCTGCCCCGAGTGCGGCAAGGCCTTCCGCGAGCGCGGCTACCTGGTGCGGCACCAGCGCATCCACCGGCCCGAGCGGCCCTTCGCCTGCGCCGACTGCGGCAAGGGCTTCATCTACCGCTCCAAGCTGGCCGAGCACGCCCGGGTGCACGCCAAGCTGCGCCGCGCGCCCCGCGACGCGGGAGCCGCGCCCGGGCGCCGCCGGCCCTTCGTCATGATCGAGGCCGACTGGAGCTGAGCGGCAGCGTGAGAAGACGCCGCCAAGGACTGACTTTCTCTCTTTTTTTGTGGGGCGGGGTGGTCTTCCACATCTGGCGATGCTCGCTCGGGAGACTACCTGGGGGTCTTCCACGTCTGGCGATGCTCGCTCGGGAGACTATCTGGGGGTCTTCCACGTCTGGCGATGCTCGCTTGGGAGACTATCTGGGGGTCTTCCACATCTGGAGATGCTCGCTCGGGAGACTATCTGGGGGTCTTCCACGTCTGGCGATGCTCGCTCGGGAGACTATCTGGGGGTCTTCCACATCTGGAGATGCTCGCTCGGGAGACTATCTGGGGATCTTCCACGTCTGGCGATGCTCGCTCAGGAAACTACCTGGGGGTCTTCCACATCTGGCGATGCTCGCTCGGGAGACTATCTGGGGGTCTTCCACATCTGGCGATGCTCGCTCGGGAGACTATCTGGGGGTCTTCCACATCTGGCGATGCTCGCTTGGGAGACTCTCTGTGGCTCTTCCACATCTGGCGATGCTCGCTCGGGAGACTACTTGGGGGTCTTCCACATCTAGCGATGCTCACTCGGGAGACTATCTGGGGGTCTTCCACATCTGGAGATGCTCGCTCGGGAGACTATCTGGGGATCTTCCACGTCTGGCGATGCTCGCTCGGGAGACTATCCGGGGGTCTTCCACATCTGGAGATGCTCGCTCCGGAGACTATCTGGGATGCCCGGGATGGATCCCGGTGAAGCCGCGTGTAAGGTGAGCGCCCTCCCGGCTTGCACCCGCTCCGGCGCCCCGGATCGCCTGTAAAACGTCATCGAGCTCGAAGCGTTGGCCGCTTGTGCTTCCTGCCCTGTGAAGTCGGGACCGTCTCCCCACCCCGCATGCCAAGCCAGTTCTGAACCCCAGCTTGAAGACGGGACTCCGACTTTCCAGTGCGGGTCTGGTGCCGAAAGGCTTGCGGGAGGATGTTTAATGTCATGTTTTTCTGGAGATGAGCCTGAGCTCCCCCCCGTTAAAGCCAGGGTAATAATGTTGGATTTGGGGTCCAGCCCTTCCTTTGGAGACCGGCAGCAATAAAGGGCGTCTGCGAAGCCCTTGGTCCGTTTGGGTGAGTGCTTGCTGCTCGTTCCCCTAATTTACAACCCATCAGCTCCGTGAAGCGGTGCCAGGCCACGTGAAGATGCCCAGACCCGACCGGCAAGTCTATAAGACTAGACTGTAGATGAGCGATTGGGGTGGAAGTTCGCGTTGGGAGTTAAATGTGCCGGACTCCACAGGGCACATTCTGGGAAAATTCAAAATAGTGGCACTTCTCAACGTGAGTTCCCTGGCTGCTCACTGCGCAGTGTTCTCAGTGGTGGACACAAGCAGAGCTGAAATAGGAATCTGGGAAGGACCCAGGGGACCTTGGAAGAGGGCTGTGTGACCACTGTCTGGGTCCCGGGGATGGCTGTGTGCTGCTCAGCCCCAACCTGCAGGGTCCGTGGTCCACGGTCAGGAATGTCTGGACTGGACTGCAGGGAGTGCAGAACCTAGGGCGGTCGGCAAGTCGGAGTGGACCTGCCCAGAAAATGGTTTGACAGGATTTCCTCAGGGACGTCACTTCCACAGGTACTCTGCAGGGGACACGTGACACACCATGATTCTCACGCGCTGGCCATGTCCACACATATGACATGGTTCTCACAGGCATGCGTGCAGACAGGCCACGATTCACACACGCACACACACGCACACACACACACACACACACAGATTTCCTCAGGAACACGACCTCTGAAGGTGCTCTTCGGGAAACACACACACCAGGCGTGGCTCTCACGCACAGACCTCGATGCTCTCACATGCTGTCATTCTCACACACACCATAATTCTCCAGGAGCAAGACAAATGTAGTCTAAATAAAGCTAACCTTAGTGTTCTCGGCTCACTCCCAAATGCATGATCGTGTGGGCAGAATTCGAAAGAATGCTCCTGGCTTTAGATCAGCAGCCCGAGGCTGTTTAGAATGAGCATCAGAGAGAAGGTGCCAGCTTTGTTTGTGGCCGACTCGAGCTACCACAGATGGACCTCGAGCACAGAGCCAGAAGGAGCCTCAGTCCCGCTGGCCATGGAGTAGCATTTGGAATTTCCTTTCCTTTATTTATTTATTTATTTTGCTTTTTTGGGTCACACCTGGTGATGCTCAGTGGTTTCTCCTGGCTCTGCACTCAGGAATTGCTCCTGGCTGGGCCGGGGGACCATATGGGATTCTGGGGATCCAGCTTGGGTCTCCCATGCTCATGGCAAACCCCTGACTATCGTCTGGCCCTTGGAATTTTTTTAGGCGCAGTGGGTCTGCGATGTCATTGTTCCCAGCCTTGTGTGTTCCATGTCTGTGTGTAACACGTGGACTCCTTTTGCAGAACCCAGTAAACTCCCCAGAGTGACACAGGGGACAGTACTTACTAGTTCCTTGTAGGCCCAGAGTTGCGTTTGCTTCAGGGAATCTCAAAATGTGATTGTCGTTAAGCTTTGTCGTGCCTGCACAAGGGAATAGTTTTCTGTGAGGTAAAATTTTTGGATTTCTTTCCCATCTAGTCGAGTTGTAAACCACACTTAGACTGGCCGTTCTTTCTTTGTGTGTGTGTGTGTGTGTGTTTTGGGGGGGGGGGGGGGGCTTCACCCTGCAGTGCTCAGGGCTCACTCCTGGCAGGGCTTGGAGGCTCATATATGGTGCCAGGGATCAAACCTGGGGCAACTGTGTGCAAGGCAAGCCCCTTAGCCCTGTACTGCCTCTCCAGCCTCTGAATAAAGAATATTTGAGCAAGGCGTAAACTGATGGAGGAGGAAGGAACACGAAGGGGGCCAGAGGAGGGACTGGCCTTGGATGGGGACAGGGTGCCAGTCTAAGTGGACAGTGGAGGGGGCTGCCACCCCCCCCACACACACAGTAGGCTGGATGGTGGTAGAGGGTAGTTCTGGTTTCCTTGGCGAGAGGAGGCGAGATCTGATCTATTTACAAAGAATGGTTTCGGGATGCTGGCGGAGATGCCAAAACGTCACCTGATCTCTTGCAAAAAGCTTGCCCGGAGAGCAAATCATCCCTTTGCACCTAAGAGGGTGTTTTGTACAGAGCCAACAAACAGCCTTACGAAGCAGGAACTCCAGAAATTAGGACTGGTATAGAGAACTTGAAAATCTCCCCAACTTATGACCCAGGGAGGACGACTGGAAATTTTAGAGAGTTATAAAGATTAATAGGAAGAAATACTTTTTACTAGGCTCTATCTTAAAGATCTAAGCAAAAGAAGAAAAAAAAATGTCCCTGGGCACTGATTTGGCTGCCTTATGAATGCCTTGATTGTTAGAGTCACCTGTGCCAAGTCCCGGAGGAGCGGCTGAAACCCAGTAATCCCTTTTCCGGTGTGCTCAGCCGCTCCTCTGGAATGTAATCTCCGCCACTCTGCAGTTTCCCAGTCAGTGATCTGCCTGCTGCACCTTGTGAGTCCCCCAGGAGAAGGTGGGCTGCCTGAAATGAGCCAGGTCCCCTGTCACCCCACTCCTGCACCCTTCCTTTTTAGAGCGCCTAGCCCATGTCTTCCCACAGCTAGAGGGAGGCGCCCCGATCCAGGAGGAGCTCCTAAGGCTGACAAGAGCTTTAAGTGCACTCAGCTGAATTTTATTTCCTGCTAAGCTCAGCGTTCAGGGGGTCATGCAGGTGATGCTCTTCAGAGCTTGGGATTGAATCCAGGGCGTCACCTCTGGGCCCCATCCCTGCTCCAGTGTCTTTTTCTTTTCTTTTCGGGTCACACCTGGCGATGCACTCAGGAATTTCCTCTGCACTCAGGAATTAACCCTGGCGGTACTCAGGGACCATATGGGATGCTGGGAATCAAACCCGGGTTGGCCACATGCAAGGCAAATACCCTGCCCTCTGTGCTATTGTTCCAGCCCTACCAACGTCTTTTCTTAATGCAGTAGAGACTTTAACTGCAGTGCTCAGGGCCTACACCTGACTCCGTGTTCGAGCATCCTGCTATATCGGGCATCGAACCATGCCTCCTGCATGCAAAACATGTCAACTCTGTAACTGTCACCCTAGCCCCCACACTAGAAGACTTATAAAAGAAACTAGAACATGGGGCTGGAGCGATAGTACAGTGGAGAGGGCTTTTGCCTTCCGTGCGGCTGACCTGGGTTCGATTCCCAGCATCCCATATGGTGCCCCAGCACCGCCAGGAGAAATTCCTGAGTGCAGAGCCAGGAATACCCCCTGTGTATTGCCGTGTATGACCAAAAAAAAAAAAGAGAGAGAGAGAGAACGTCTCTCCCTTCCAAAATGGGTCACAAGGTGTTAGTAAAGTGGGCACGGCACTTGCCCTGCACGCAGTCGACCCTGGTGTAGCCGAACCTGGTTTTGGCCCATGGCATTTTATACTGTTCCCCCCACATGCACCCCAAGCCCGCTAGTAGTGGTCCTGTGCCCCTAGCACAGAGCAAGGGAGTAAGTCCTGAGCATTGCTGGGTGTGCCCCCCCCCCAAAAAAAAAACCCACAACAAAATAGATGCCAAGGCATGGAAATTATTTGAGTGAGTTGTTCTGTGGTTTCATATTTACTCAGAAAACATCCCCAGAAACGTTCTTAAATTTCTCTTGGGCTTGGATAGTCCACGGTTTAACCTGTCTCCCGTTTCATACTTTAGATTCCAAATTCACCTACTGCATTTGCTGTAACATGAGCGGGCTCTGGGAGCCCCTAAGAAGAGCCAGGAGAGCTAGACTGCTTTCCTTTACGTTTCCTTCCTTCCTTCCTTCCTCCCTCCCTCCCTCCCTCCCTCCGTGCGGACAGCTGGGAGCGACTTCGGTCCGCGCGGGGCTTGCGCTGGCCCCTTTTCCCTGCAGGTGGCGCTATTGCGAACCCGGGCGGGAATGCCAGCGTTCCCACCAGGCCCCGCGTGTCTCCATGGTAACGGGCGTGGTCCAGGCGCGACTCCATGGCAACGGGAACCGGCAAGCGCTCCTCACCGGTTT